GCGCAAATCCCCACGGTTCAAATTCAGAAGTTTATCAGATTTCTTTCTTAAAAAGAAATTTTAATATTACTCGACTACCGTAATTTTCGAACAAGATTTTTTTTCTGGGGGAAGAACAGTCGTTGGATTTCGTTTCCCATTAAATTAAAAAAGAGAGACAGGTATGTAAAATTCGAGTAATGGATTCTTTCTTTCTTTTACAAGATAAATCTTGGCGACGAGAAGGTCTTATCTACGGTAATTCGAGCCACTAATCACGTGACGCGTGCACCATCGATCCTTCCGCTTCCTGCACGCTTCCTATCCGGGGCGAAACAAAAGCGGAGATTCGAGAAGACTATCTCTCGTATCTTCGATCACGAAAATTTCAACAATCCCTTCTCAAACACTATTTGCACTATTTTCCAGTTCCATTATTCCGTTGGAGATTTTAAAATGTTATGAAAGGAAGGAAATAGATTCGAAGGGAATGGCAGAGCGGAGCGACGGCGATCGGTGATGCAAACCGGCGGCAACTACGGGTTCGGCCTTGTTGCACCGAGTCAAAACGCGACCGCGGTTTCCCTCTTACCTCGCGTCCTTTGAGAACCTTCGCGATAGAGGGAACAATCGCGCCATTCTCTCGGTCGCGAATCAGAATCACTCCTCGCCTTCTTCTTTTTTTCCCCTCCCTCCCCTGAAAAAAATCCTTCCGTTTCGAACGTTCTTCCTCCATAAAGCAAATTTCGAATCGAAACGATGACGATACGATTTTAATAATTCGTTGTGAATATTTATTTTAATTTCGAATCGAAACGATGACGATACGATTTTAATAATTCGTTGTGAATATTTATTTTAATAGATATCGCGGTTTGGAAAATTTCCACGAAAGATTTTACGATTCTGTTATTTATATAGGTTAAGGGAATTATAAAATATATAAAATATTGATGTGATGATCTAAGTGATTTTTTTTCATACGCAAGGTTGTTGCGCGAGCGTGAAAGTTTTTCTGAAGCTTCGATTTGTAACGGGGAATTAAATTTAACTCTCTCGAGGTAGTCGAATACGTTTTTAAACTTGATCTTGTCGATCGGGGAGAAAAAGATAATAATCGCCATTAGTCACGTTTCTAATTCAAATGTATCCGACACCCATTAAATATCGACGTTAATAAAATTTATAATATTACCTATTCAATTTTCCACTCGATCGCAATCTCTCTCTTCTCCTCCCCTATTTAACGCCATAAATTATATATACTGTTGATGGCCATCGACGATCCGTAATAATTGGCCACGTGTTATCCTTTTAATGGCGACAAAAAGTCGTATATATATATATATATATATA